ATCGGTGAGCCATGTTAATATTTATTCAAGCGAAAATGATTGAACAATTAATTATTAAATATAATCCAAATTTTTGGTAACGTAACCACTTCCTTCGCTGACCAATCATTAACAAAAATGTCTTCTGCTTAATTAAACTCTCCTCCTATTGTTATCAAAAAAAAAAAAAAAAACTCTCCTCCTGTTATTTTTATTAGAGTTTTATTAATCTCATATTAAAGGAGATAATTATCTCATGTCATAGAGACAAACTAGAGGCCTCCACCACCTGAAAAAAGAAAAAAAAAAGTGGCACCGTTATCAAAAGGTGTGTAGGAGAGAAAACTTATATAATGTAACATAAGAATAGTTTTTTCCTCTTTATTATTAAAATAAATTAAGAAGTTGGATGACAGGTACAGCAACTATAATATTAACCTGTATTATTAAAGTATTTATTAAGGAATTAAAATTAAAGATTGAATAAAAAGTTTTCTTTTTAAATTTGACATTTTAAATATTTTATCTTTATTTATTTTTTTTTACTTTTAAATTCTTAAGTGTCTTAAAAAACCCTTGAAGCAATAGTGCTGGTTATATGCCAATCTACAGTCAGTGAAGCAAATCAATTTTCCCTTAGGCCAAAAAAACCTTAAGGTAGTGTTTGGTTGAAAGTTTATTTTGGGATTGATGGAAAAGTGTAAGTGGATATTGAAAAATATCACGTTGAGTTCAAATTTTTTCAAAAAATACCAGGCAAATAGGATAGATGAGAAAATGACTTTTGTATTGATTTTTGGATGAAATTCACTGTTACAGAATACCACTTGAGATGTAGTATTTTGAGATAACTGGGGAAGTGAGAAAACAGGTGCAAAGTTTCTCCCGAACATAGATTTTGCATATTTAAATAAATTTCCCTGGTAATATTTGGGTCAACCAAACAACTTTTTTTACATTTTCCTACCAAACTCATTTTCCAACCATTTCCCTATCAATTACAATTCCCTAGTAAAAAAAAAAATTCTCCTGAACCAAACACTACCTAAGGTGCTGTTTGGTTCAAGTGAATATTTTAGTTCACCGAAAAAATGTAATTATGAGGGATCTACAGAAAAAGTGAATTAGATAGGAAAATTAAAAAAAATTTATTTGGTTGGGACAAATATTACCAGACAAATTGATTAAAGTTTTTGAAACCTATATTTGGTTAAGAATAAAATATTGATGGATTAATGGTATAAAATTACAAATATAACCCCATAAAGAAAGTGAAACCTTCGCACTTTAGACGATGATATTTAGGTCTGCTAGTGAGTTGCCATTTTACCATTTAGTCGGCTAAACACAAAACACCACCCGCAAATTGTCATTACAAACAGTAACTATTGCTTGCTTTCTACGACCAAATATCAAATGCTATGCAAATACAACATCTAGGAAAAAAATTTAAAACTATCTACCAAACATTGCTTTCTTAGTTTGCCAATTTGATTTGCGTAAACAACTTTTAAGAAACCCTGAACCAAACAGCACTCACTTGGCTAGCTTTTCTCCATCTTGAGATCAGTAAACAAAATCCGAAACTACTCTAAGCATTTGTTTGGATGGATTTTTTTTTTCAAAAATTATTTTAAAAAAAACATTTCTCATTATAAAATTATTTAGATGTCTGTTTTAAAAAAAAGTATAAGTTATGTAAAATGTCAAAAAATTTCTTTTTTTAGAAGCTTAAAATTTTAGCTTTTAAAAAAAACAGTTGAAGTCAAATGCATTTTTTTAAAAAAATAAATAAATAATTTCTTTAAAATCTAAATAGTTTTAATTTTGATAAAAGAAATACTTCTAAAATAAACAAAATATAAAAAATCCTTTTTTACGGGAGGCCCTAGAGGAGATAAACAGTTGGAGTTCAAATGATCAATCTGTGTTTTTTTATTTGTTTAAATATATTTTTGTTCTAAAATGCAACACTTAATTTTAATTTAGTTTTTGTATATATAATTATTTTTAATTTAGTCTTTACTGTCTCTTGTTATTATAATCTATTAGTACAAAATTGAAAATGAATAGTATTTGTTTACGTACATGCTAAATATTTTAATTTATTCTTTATATTCGCAATAAATTCATGTTAATCTCATGATATTACGAGGCAACAGAAGACAAGGACGACATTAAATAAAACTATAAAAGTATACATATAAGAACTAAGTTTAAATTTGTTTAAATTAAAAATGAGTGCAATAATTACTAATATACGATATCATTGATTAAGGAAGGGTTATATTTATATTATGTTATAGAAAAATGATTGTCTCATGTTATAAAAACAAAATTACAAGTAGGATCCACAAGTAAGAGAAGAGAGAAAAAATAAATATGAAATCCACTTTTACTTTGTGTATGTAAAAAACTTGTTTATCTTATGTAACATAAGATAAATATAACCCATTAAGGAAACAGAATTACTCGTACAGAATTTTTTTTGCTGGACTCATGTAACTTTAATTATTATTATTGCTATATTTTTGTCTTCTTTGTTAATAATTTAACTTAAAATTTTAGAAAACTTTATGTATAACGCATAGAGAAGATTATACTTATTATTAACTTTATTATTAATTTGTTGAATTAATTTTAAATCAACAATTAAAAAATAGAAAAAAATTAACTGTCATTAATTTTAAATTAATTAAACAATAAATAATTTTTTTTGTAAATAATTAGATCCTAAGAATAATAAAATTAAATTGATAATAAGTATAATCATTTTCGTAAAACATTGCGCAAATAACATTTTTAAAAAGAAAAAGCTTTTCTCATTCAAGGAATAACGTTTCTTTTGCACTGTCAAGTCACATCTTTTCATGTCAATAATAAATGAAAAAAAAATCATAGTAAAATGATTTTAAAAATAAAGATGTTAAGTAAAGTGAGTAAAAAGAGTCATTAGTTTTTTATATGAGTTTAATATTTTTATATCACAGGAAATAAATTTTATATCTTACAAGGAGATAAAATTATGTGAAGTCTACGTGGATTAATATAAAAGAAGAAAAAAAATATATGAATTTATGTAATTTTATTTGTATTTATTTTTTATAATAAAAAATTAATTTTTTTATTTGACTGCAAAGTTTCAAGTCGGTTGGTCAGAAATGAAACTAAAAGAATGAAAAAGTAACGAAAATTGCAGTGAGTACCGAGTAGCTGATTAGATAGGAGAACGGTTTCACCGCGCTACGATTTTTGCAGCATCTGTTTTTAACAGGTAAAAATTTATAGTACTACTGTAGTTACGGATAAACGAGAGTATGTCACATCAAGTTGATATTTTTTTGAAAAAAAAACAATTTTAATATTTTACATTATGTTTTTTCAGAAATATATAATATATAATGTATAATTTTTCATCGCATCTAATGATCTATATTCCCATCGTATTGAAAATGCTCTCTCTTAACAGATAAAAAGCCTCATCGATTGTAGTTTTATGCTTATCCGATCGTCAATCATGCATAATATCGTCATAGACTTGTAATAACTTTTGTTAGGGAAATTTTTTTGAAATTTCTGAGAAAATGATAGTAATAATTCTATATATACATGTTTGGTATAAGATTTTTAAAAAAATTTTCAGAGAATCTAATTTTCTCGAAATTTTGTTTTGTGTACAATTTTTCTTCCAAAATATCATCGAAGAATACCATCAAATAAAATCTTAGATATTAAGAAAATTTTACATTTTTTTGAAACAAAATTCCTGTAATATTTTGACCTATTAAATAATTTTTTGATAATAAAAAAGTAATTTTTTTATCATATTTTTAAATATCATGTTTTCGAGCATAAAAAAATGAAAAATCTTTTTCTTATGTTGATGTAGATATATTTTACGTTGGTGAAACAAAATAATAAGAAAAACCCACAAATGATTGGAGAAAAAAAAAGTGAGAACCACATTTTGTTATGTATGTGTGTAGGAAAATGAATTATCTCTTATTGAATGAGATAAATATAATCCTAAAAAAATTTATTACATACCAAAACGTCCCCTAAGTGTATCCTTCCCAACCAGTAAAACTTAGTAACATAAAATATTACTTTGTAATAAATATTCTTTGTAATTTTGTAGGTCCATCCATAAATTCACAATTACTGCCCAATTTGAATGAAGATAAAAAAAAAAGGGTGATGGATAATATGACATCCGTTTCTCACATGAAATAGGAGGTTGAAGAAGAAAGAGGAAGAGGAAGTGTAAAAAGGTAATGATTACGAAAGGAGCCTGATGGGAAGCCTATTTCCGTATAAAATAAATGATTAAATTCAATTAAGAAGGAAAACATCTTCGCAAGACTGCGCAGCCATAGCCGCCATTTCCTCTTTCCTTTGCCTCTTCATTTACTTTTTCTTATATGATTACTATTAAATGGTTTTTAAATTCATTTATTTCCATCATTATTAGAAGAGAAAAAGTGTTGAGAGAGAAAAAAAAAAGCAAAACAAGGAAAGAGAAAGACATATTCTTAACATTTAAAATTAAATGAAGGAATTAAATACACAGGAAGTGGTGTGGATTCTGAAGAGAGAGATATTTAAAAAAAAAACGGCAAAAGGAAAAGCTGAAAAGATCAGGTATTTAAAGCCCCATCAGAGGATTTGGATTTGTACCTTGGCGATGAGATGATTAAATCATAAGCTCCATACATATCTCATTTCACACACCCTTTTACCTCTTCATTTATATATCTCTTGTTTTTTCCCCCCTACTTATTCATGCGAGACAGTGATCGTATATGAGTTGTGTAACACTAAGCCATGACTTTTGTCGAAACCTCCTAGGCTTAGGTTTCGTGGTTTATAGCAGACGTTAATCAGTCTTGAAAAAGCTGCGATTTTCCTCACTCTGATAAGATTTATCCTTCTCCAGTGCCCCCTCTTCCCTTTGGGTCCCCTCTATATAAAGGCAAGGGTGTGTGTGTGTGTGTTCTTGGCACTCTCACTGGGTCCTTGCTAAGTGACTAGTCCCCCTTGTTTTTCTGCCATTATAGATTAAGAAAGATTGTGACTTGTTTTGTCAGATATGGGAGAAGAGTTTGCTATGGTGGTTGTGAGTGTGAGAGAGTTCAACCCAAATAAAGACAGAGAAAGAGTGGAAGGCGTTGAAAGAATCTGTGAGGTTGGACCCAGTGGGAAGCTTTCCCTCTTCACTGACCTCCAAGGAGACCCAATTTGCAGGGTCCGCAATTCACCTACTTTCCTCATGCTGGTATTATATTCCCCCAACTAATCATCAATGTCTTTTCCTTCTTTTCTTTTCTTTTCTTTTTCTTTTATTCCATTTTTTTTTTTTTTTTTTTTTTCTATTCTATCACCATTGAGCAATTAGTCTCTCCCTTCACATAGTAACAATACACAAGAGTCTCTCTCACCAACTTTTTCACTCTGTCAACGGAGACACACACACACATAAATTAATTAAACAACAAGAAAGCAAGACATCACAACATGACATATTTATATATATCTTAACTTTTGATTCATTGTTAAATGTTTGTTTGTTTGTATCAGGTAGCTGAGATAGGTGAAGACATAGTCGGAATGATAAGGGGTTGTATCAAAACCGTTACATGCGGAAAGAGGCTCTACAGACAAGGAAAAAACACCACCTTCACCCACACCAATTCCACCACTAACAACAACATTGAAACTATTGAAGCCACTACCAAACAAGTCCCTGTGTACACAAAACTCGCCTACATATTAGGCCTCCGCGTTTCTCCTTCTCACAGGTACCATTCCACTAACTACTCAAATTTTTATTTTATTCAATTTCAACCATTCTGTTAAGAGTGTGGGTTTTTGAATTCTGATTGATTAGTGTTTGTGTTTGTGTTTGTGCAGGAGAATGGGAATAGGGTTGAAACTTGTGCAAGGAATGGAGGAATGGTTCAGAGAAAACGGAGCTGAGTACTCATACATAGCAACGGAAAAGGATAACGTGGCATCCGTTAAGCTCTTCAACGAAAAATGCGGCTACTCAAAGTTCCGTACACCGTCGATTCTTGTAAACCCTGTTTTCGCTCACCGAGTCAGGACCTCACCCAAGGTTACCGTTATTCAGTTAACCCCAAAAGACGCTGAGTCACTCTACCGTAACCGATTCGCCACCACCGAGTTCTTTCCCCGCGACATTGACTCGGTCCTCAACAATAACCTCAGCCTCGGCACTTTTCTCGCCGTCCCGACCGGCTCATACCGGCCCGACACCTGGCCCGGTTCGGACCGGTTCCTTTCAGACCCACCGCAATCCTGGGCCGTGGTCAGCGTTTGGAACTGCAAAGATGTGTTCACGCTCGAGGTGAAGGGCGCGTCGCGCGTGAGGCGGGCTTTGGCTAAGACGACCCGGGTGCTGGACCGGGCTTTCCCTTGGCTTCGGTTGCCGTCGATTCCAAACCTCTTCAGGCCGTTCGGGTTTCACTTTATGTATGGGCTTGGAGGGGAAGGCCCAGAGGGGTCGAAGATGGTGAGTGCCCTTTGTGGGTTCGCGCATAACCTCGCGAAGGACCGTGGGTGCGGGGTGGTTGCAACCGAAGTCTCGAGCCGCGAACCGCTCCGGTTCGGTATACCGCACTGGAAGGTGCTATCTTGTGAAGAGGATTTATGGTGCATAAAGAGGCTTGGGGAAGATTATAGTGATGGGTCGGTAGGGGATTGGACCAAATCTCCACCTGGATTCTCAATTTTTGTTGATCCCAGAGAGTTCTAACTCTTAGCATCAAACATCAGCTAGAAATTAGAACCACTTAGAAAGAAAAAAAGAAAAAGGAAAAAAAAAACTTTTTTTTTTTTTAGTTTTTATTTATATACATGCAAATGAGGGAGATCTGAATATTTAATTGTAAAGGAAGAAAGAATATCCCTCTTTTTGTTTTTTGTTTTGTTAAATTTGAGTAAATGGATGTCGCTTTTTAGATCTCCTTTCTGGTCTTCGTCTCTTGTGTTATTTACCTATCGTTTGGGATTTGGACTAGTATAGTTATTAATATTCTGCTAAATCTGAATATTTTGAAAGCTAATCGAGTATTGTTTAATGGGGGGATATATAGCCAAGTCTCTTCAACGAGAATGAGATATTGTTGTTGGTTGAGGTCATGAGTGAATCCGAATATCCATTTGGGATTGTGCATGTCGCTTTTCTTAAAGAATCTTTATTAGACTACATTTTTATGTCCTTGATAATATGCCCGCGGGTGGGGACCTTATCATAGCCAACTTTGTTTTATTGGGTTCCTAGTATCTTTCTTATTGAGGATAGTGGGAATCAAATGGTGCCCCATTAAATGTGAGTGTAAGTCTCCTAATATGGACTATTAGCCTTTTTTACGCTCTTTTAATTCATCAATTGAATGAAGACATTAGTGGGACATACAGATTCATCATGGGACATACGCTGTCTAGTATGATGTTATGAACGTTCCAGGTGCTTCAGAAGCGATTCTTTTACTTGGAGGGGAAACTTTTCATATGAAGGAATTGGATAGCAACAGCATAACAGTTTTTCTTTTATATGCAAATGAAGAGAGAGATAGAGAGAGATTTTTCTTTATTATTATATATTGGACTTGAATTTAACCCAGTCAACACGAAGTACACACTGTTTTGCTTAACTTCCTTAAACGCTAATTTTGTTTTCAATAATGCTGCTAAGGTTTTGTGTATGTTAAGGCAACTTATAAAGGCGCGTGTAAAAGGGAAACGGAAACTTTAGCACATCTATCCTTTCATCTTTAGCACGAAAAGCATTTTAAAGCAACTGTCAACAATGAAAATGAGGTTAACTACAGATTACCAAGATGTGGGACATGGGTGATATGTTTTGTTGGATGGGTAGATTTTTAGGAATGGGAATAAGAGTGAGAATGAAATGTCTATTTTTATTTTTTGTGTATTAATAAAACGATTTTTTAAGCTCAATTAAGAAGAAGAATGAAAGATTTTAATCATGAATAAAAAATAAAGAAATTAATTCTAATTAAATCATTATTAATTATGTGTACATATTTTATCATAATATTAATTATTGATGTTAAATAAGATTTGGTCAGCTTGATTGTAAACCAACAAAACTTTTTAGTCAAATTAGTTTTTTTTTTAGGTTATTCTATTCTACCTACTTCAAGGCAAGAGAAACCAATAAGTGAATTGCGGAAGAGGGCTTAGGATTCAATAATTTGATGAGTTTGAATCCTACTTCTTTTCTGCCTACATTTGTTATCCTTCACAGAAGACAATTCTGTTCGGAGTGGATCTAGAATTAAGGCTTTAAATTCCTTCCAAAGATGACACTGGGAAAAATTGAACACATGCTCTCGCCTTACTTGCTCAGCTCTCATACACCAACTGAACTACCATCGTTTGATCGTCAAATTAGTTTTTAACCCTTTTAAAACACAACTTGGCCCAATTTTTTTTGAAGCTGAATAAACGGGATGGCCGATTTTTGACACGGTTGAAACTTTAAAGCAATTAAGTTCATTAATTTGGCAACTTAAGGGTAGCTCAGTTAGCAACTTGGTTAAATGAGGATACCTCTAAGTTATACAAAAAATAAATAAAAATAAAATTCATTAATCCGGCGATTGAATACCAATTTTTAACCATTTATTCTTCCTTTTTCCCTACGTGCTATTACCTGTTCATTGGTAAGAGCTAGTCTCATGATTTTTTTTTTTTTTTTTTGGTTCACTATTCATTGTTTAATTAATTGATGTTTGATCTAAGTTTAAATACCATGCCTAAGATTGTACCCCAGAAAGAAAAAGAAAAAAAAAGCATGAGCACGAGTGAGATAATGTATTGGTTTCTTTTATGTTGACGTTTATAATGATCTCTCCCTTTCAATTTGATTCCGCTTCCTTTTGTGGTTGTAGTTTGGGACTTTAGTGAATGCACGTTTTGGGACAGTGACATAAAGAAAACAAGCCAAAGTTCAAAAATACGAGGAAAGCTGCAATCTTCAATGTTTTTTCATTACCGAAATGGTATAACATTTATTTTTAAATATGTTATCAACTCAAAAGATACATATATGAAAAAGGTGATAATTATTGTAAATAGTTAAATACGCTTCAAAATGTAAACAAAAGGTAATGTTTTATACTTTCAGCCTTTCAACACTTTGATAATTCTTTTAATTAAGGGTAATACATCGGTCATGTTACAGGATACAAAAATTGTATTCCGAAGAGACAATAAAAAGTATAGGTCTCATGGTATAAAAAAGGAGAGAAAAAAATTAGTAATGGACCCCACATCATGTATTGTTTATGCAGGAAAATTCTTTTGTTTGCTGGAGCATGACCGATGTATTTTCCTATAAATAAATATAAGAGAGATAATATTTTTATATTGCAGGAAAAAAAATTATCTTATATCGTCCATTATAATTATGTGTTTTGAGAAATATTATAAATAATTATAATATTAAAATTTTTTTTTTAGAAATTATCGGCTGGCGTGAAAAAAACAATTTAATATTATAGGTGACATAAATATTAAATTATTTATGTCACCTATAATAAGTGACATAAAATAACTTTTTTTTTAACAATAGGATAAAAAAGGATCCATAATTTAAATTATAAAATATATAAGACATTGTAACAATCAAGTTATGTTATTACCAAGTTACTACCAATCAATCTTACCGTTAGATCGATTATGTTGATCCAACGGTTATATTTATTTCCATCTTTATATGGTCATGATTTTCCAAATTTAATACTTTATATTTATTTTTACCTTTATACTGTTATGATTTCTCATATTTAATATTTTCACTTTAAATATGGGGAATCATAATCATACAAAGATGAAAATAAATATAACCGTTGGATCAACATAATCAATCTAACGATGAGATTGATTGGTAGTAATATAATAGTAACACAACTTGGTTCTTACAATATCCTTCCCCAATATATAATATTAATAAAAATTGACTTACTTTATCTGATTGGGGTGGGTCAAGGGTGCAATTGAGGCTCGGAAGTGCCTTTGAAGATGAGGCGGAAAGATAAGTACTTAAAAAAAATAAAAATAAAATCGGAAGTTTTGTTTTGTATTACTTTAGTACTTTAATTTTAATCATTATAAACTCACATGCCTCATGAGATAGCAGGAAGGAGGGTGGGCTAGTTGGAGCAACAATAATGTGAACCAGGTGTCATCACCTCTTCCTTCCCATTTTATTATCGTTTGGGGTTGCCATTGCCATAATCATTTCTTTGCCCCTTTATCTTTTGGTAATGGGTCTGCCATTCATTGCAATGTAGTTGGACATATATGTATTTAAATTAAACTTAAATTGATGTAAGTTGATCTCCTCATATATTTTTATCTAATAATTAAATTTTGGAGGTAACTAAAAGGACATAATGTAATCAAGACATCAAATTACTCAGCAATTTAATATATTAATAATTAAAACTTGTGCTTTGAGTAGTTTCGAGACTTAATCGATAATAATAAACAACCAATATTAACCAATAACAATGTAATCAAAATATCAAATTGCTATAGAACACAAAAGAACCAATAACTAATAAAATGTGTACTGAACTTGCCAGAGAAGTAGAATGGTTTGATTGTCTTTTAAATTGAATGAAATTTCTCAAGTGAACTGAGAATCAGGGGAAGCTGAATAGGGTATAATTATGGCCGGAAAGTTGAAGACTTGATAGAGTTTTTTTGTTAGGCTTCCTCCTTCAATGCTAAGCCCAAGCTCATTGAGGGGTTTTTCAAAAACCCTAAACCTTAAACGCTAAATTCCACATCCTCTATATATTCATTAGTTGAGGGTGAAGGCTAGGTTAGATGAGAGTGATTTGATATTTGAGAGAAAATTGTTTGAGATTTGAGAGCAAAGCTTTATACTTTGTATTTGAGAGATCTCTAAAGAAAGTTTGAGTGAAACATCTCTAGGGAGGTTTGATTATCACCATTGTTGGAGAGGTTGAGTTAACCACCACATTGGTGATTCTAATTATTTGTAACCACTATTTTCATAGTGGATTTTTGATCTGGACTAGGTCCCGTGGGTTTTTACTTCTTCATTGAAGAAGGTTTTCCCACGTTAAAATTGTTTGTGTTCTCTCTCTCTCCTTCTCTCTCTCTCTATTTGTGTTTTTGATTTTTCGCTGGGCTGCCCGACCTGGTAAAGTTCAGGCCGAGGTATTGCCGAGATCCGAGATCGAGGATCTTGATGATTGCCTTTCGCGAAAAGGCCCCTGCGCCGATCTGAGGGAACCGAGTTCCCAACAGTGGTATCAGAGCCTGAGTTTGAAGGGTTCTGAGGGAGACGAGATGGAGACCAGTGGCATAACCAATGATATGTTCAAGCTAACCGCAGACAATTTCACATATTGGACACCGATGATGGAGGATCATCTCTACTGCAAAGATTTACATGAGCCCATTACCCTTGATAAGAAACCGGAAGGCAAAACCTATAGAGAGTGAGAGATTCAAAGTCGTAAGGCGGTAGCTACGATCAGAAAATATATTGACAAGAGCCTCTTTGAGCACGTGTTCGAGTTCACGAACGCGTATGAGTTGTGGACGAAGTTGGAGTCCATGATTCAGAAGAAGACTCCCAGGAACAAAGCACACCTGGTTCGCCGACTTGTGAAGCTGGAATACAAGGATGGCATGAGCATGATAGAACACCTCAACACCTACAAAGGTATTGTGAATCAGCTGTCAAAGGTTGAGATGAAAATTGATGACGAGATGCATGC